TATATACATATATATATATATATACATATATATATATATACATATATATATATATTGTGTGTGTGTCTATGTATGTATATATGTATGTATGTATGTATGTATGCGCACACACAGAAAAGAGATAGAAATAGGGATGGATTTATATCTGTATAGGTATCTGTTTAAGTATGTATGTATGGAAATGAATATATGCAAGTTTATATCACACAGTGTAACACATTCATATGATAGCTGGTGCAGATGCATGTATGATGTGTATGTGTATTTTGTGGGCATAATACATGTTGACTTTTAAAACTATTATATTACTATTGTTATTATTATTGTTATTGTTATTTAAAATTATTGTTATTATTATTATTATTATTATTATTGTTTTTATTATTATTATTATTATCATCATCATCATCATCATCATCACTATTAATCATTGTTTGCATCGAGAAGAATATATATTAATGAGCTTAACTTCGTACAATTGCCATTAATGATGTAAATATGTTTTTGTAATAATGAGAATGGAAGGTGATACACATAGGCCTATGCATCATGCGGTGATAACTGCGAAGTAATGATGATGATGATGATAATGATGAATATGGTGATGGTGATGATGATGGTGGTGTTGATGGTGGTGACTAGTGTGTGAAAATATGGTGACGAGAGAGTGATGAGTTTAAGAATGAATGGGCGTTGTTTGAGGTAGTGATGGTGATGATGATAGTGATGTAGGTGATTTTGGTGTTGTGATGGCGAAAATAAGAAAAAAATGTGATGTGATGATGATAAGTGTGTGAGGAAGATGTCTGGCGTTTAAACGTTTTAGGCATGTTGCAGAGACAGGTTGCAAATTGTGCTCTGCAGGCTGGGTAATAGGGTTTGCCAGACGGAAGAGGAGGAAGGAGAGGGAGAGGAGAAGAGGAGGAAAGCAAAGGAGAAGAAAAAGAAAAGCGGAAATTTCTCTCGTCTCTCTCCCTCCCTCCCCTTCTCTCTCTCTTTCTCTTTCTCTTTCTCTTTCCCTTTCTCACCCTCTCAAGATAATTCGAATGATGATGATGATAATAAAGACTAATAGCAATAATTACATATAATGATGATAATGTTGACAATCATAGTAACAATCATAATACGAATAAGAAGAGGAATTATAATAATGATAACAGTAATGAAAATAATTAAAGTAATTATAATAATAATAATAATGATAATAATAATAATAATAATAACAGTAAATAGAATAATAATTATAATAATAAAGATAACAATAATAGTAAGATTTATTAATATAATGAAGATGATGATAGTAATGATAATAATAATAATAATAATAATAATGCAGTAGCTATTATAATAACGAACATGATAATAATAGTAATGATAATATTAGAATCAAGAGCTGGACGCAGTGTTGCCAAGATTAGAGAATTCGCATATTTATCTCAAGGGGGTTTGTCGACACTGCGAAACGTCCGGTTGGGCGAGGTGGGCCGGGGAGATTCCGCCCTTATGCCCACCGTGCAGAAGGTTGGAGATCGTCTGCGTCGCGAAGGAGAGAGAAAAAATAAAAGAAGTGTGAGGGGGGATGGGGGGAGGGGGTGTGTCCATAGATCATCGATGTGTCTGAAGAAGTTGGTTGATTAATTTTTGTTTCTTTCTTTATCTTTTTTTATTTTTATTTTTATTTTTTATTATTATTTTTTTTGTAAGATTTGTTTGTTTGTTTAGGATCTCTTTATGGTTTTTGCCCATTTTGTTTGTTTGTTTCTTTGTTTATAAAGATCGTCGATGTGTACCGAGAATTTGGTCGGTTAAAATGTTTTCTTTTATCTCATTTTGTTGTTGTATTTGGTTCTTCTGTCGTTAGTTGTTTTGTTGGTTTAGTGTGTCTTTGTTTCTTGTTTTGCGTTGTGTCAGAAACTTTTATCCTCCATTTTTTTTTCTCTCTCTCTCTCTCTCTTGTTTATTTATTGTTGTCTGTTATGTCATTTGGTTATTATTACCTTTTTATGTGTTTCGAATTGCGAGGAAATGATTTAATCTTGTGATATCATGCGAAGGAAAGGTATATGAAAAGAAGTAAGAAAGGAGTGAGAGAGGAAGAAAGAAAGAAAGAGAGAGGCGTAAGGTACAAGAGAGTGCCCTGCGCCATGTGTCACCCTCCATGCCCGCAGCGCCCTCCCCCCTCCCTCTCCCTCTCTCCCTCCCCCATGACGTCAGATTGAGGCAGAGCAACTTGGGAAGGAGGGGGAGGGGGCAGGGGAGCCGGGAGGGTCCGCCGCTGCCCACTGGGGGTTTTAAAAGCATTGTCCCGAAACAGGTTTTGTGGCCGCAATTTTTCATGTTTAAATCACTGTTGCATCTTGCATTTTTATCAGGGGGACGTTTATATAATATGATATACATACGCATATGCACGCGCGCGCACACACACGCGCACACACACACGCACGCACACACGCACGCACGCACGCACGCACACACACACACACACGCACACACACACACACACACACACGCACACACACACACACGCACACACACACACACACACACACACACACACACACACACACACACACACACATACTCGCGCGCGCGCGCGTGTATATAAATAACTTATGTATATATGATATAGATATAATATATTATACAATATATATATATATCAATATATATTAAATAAATATATTGTATTTATACTATATGTATTATGTAGGTATGCATGAATATGCACTCATACTTATACATACCCCTATTTGTATACATATAAACACACACATGCACCATATGTGTGTGTATGTGTGTGTGTGCGTGTGCAAACATACATACATACATACATACATATATGCATAGGTACATACTTAATATCCTAATGCAGTATACACACCCAGTGCTCAGTGTAGGTATATAGCTGAACCTGAGCGTGCCTTGCCTTATTAAATCCTTATGAATGATTTAGTAGCTGGCGCATGAGTAATGCATTTGCGGAGGAAAAAGAAACTTAAATCTGGTTTGTACTTTGGCGTAATAACAGGTATTTTCCAACTTGGCTCTAGATAAACTTTATTTTGCACTTTTCCCTGCTCCGACTTTACTTCTCTCTCTCTCTCTCTCTCTCTCTCTCTCTCTCTCTCTCTCTCTCTCTCTCTCTCTCTCTCCCTCTCTCCCTCTCCCTCCCTCTCCATCTCCTTCTTCTTCTTCCATTTAACTCATTCCTTCTCCCTCCCTCTCCCTCTCCTTCTCCTTCTTCCATTTAACTCATTCCTTCTCTTTCGCCTACCACCCCCCTCCCTCCCTCTGTCCCTCTCCCTCTCCCTCTCCCTCTCACCCGACCCCCCCCCCTCTGCCCCTCTCCCACCCCCACCCCCGTCTCCACCTTCTCAGAACACCCATATTAGCATGAATAAATAATGGAAATCTGCGAGAGTACGATAATTTTCGGCGGGTGGGGGAATGGGGGAGGGGAAGGTGGTGGGGGGTTGTCAGGGTGGGTGGGCGGTGGTAAGGAGCGAGGGGAGGGATGTAGGGGGGAGGGTGGGGGAGGGAGGGATGGGAATAGGAGCGGGTGGGTTAGGAGAGGTTAAGGGAGAGGCAGAGGGAGGCCCAGGGGGAGGTAGGGAAGGGAAGGGAAACTCGAAAGTAAGTTCGAAGTTGACGCGCGTCTGTCCCTTTTCGCGCCCACCGGAGGGGAAGTGGGCGGCGCTTAGGGCAACGCTATTCGGCAGAAGCGACGAAAAAAAAGACAGCGTTAACAGTAGAAACAGCAGCATGTAACAGCACCGACAGCAAAAGCAGCATCCCGTGGCTTTTCCCCGAGGAGGTGGCGGCGCAGTAGCGGCGGCGGCGGCGAGAGGCGAGCCCCGGCGGAGCTCCCTCGGCCGACGCTGACCGAGGGCGGCGCGGAGGGAGGCAGGGAGGAAAGGAGGAAGGGAGGAAAGGAGGAAGGAGGGCCGTGACGTCCTTTGTCGCTCCTTGGCTGTGCGGTCGTCGAAATCGTGGTTCTGTTGGTTGCGGTCGTCTTCGTGAGGGTCGTCGTCGTCGCCGTCGCCGTCGTATCTGTGATGGTGGTCGTCGTGTGTGGCGTGGGTGGAGGTTTAGGTCGTGGTTTAAGGTTCTGTTTTGGTCGACGTGGTTGCCGTCCAGGTGGTGGTGGTCGTTCGTCGCGCCTGTTTGTTTCTGCCGTCGATCCAGGCGTTGGCTCCGTCACACGTTAGGCTCGCGGCTCAGGCACGGAGTGGACGATCTGCTCGGCGGTATTATCATTTTCCTTTGTTTTGTCTGACGCATTTTGTTTATTTATTAATTGTTAATTAATTTATTTATTTTAATTATTTGTGGTACAGAACGTGTAGCTTTTCTAGATCCAATGCATTACTATCCTGGCTGGCAATTCCTTCGCATTTCCACGAGATTCAGGTACACTCCTCTCCCCCCACCTCCCCCCCCCACACACCCCGCCTCGAGCCCCTCAAAGGTAAAACCGAAATACAAGAAGCAGCCTCGCCATCTCCCGCTACCCGGCCGATGCTGCCAATCAGCTGACTCGGGTACGATCAGCTGGCTTCGCGGTGACAGCAGCTCGGTTTCTTTTTCTTCTTCGTTTGGTGGAGGAGGAGGAAGAGGAGTAAAACAAGAAGTATACAAAGCGGGAGAGGAGAAGGAGGAGGAGGAGGAGGAGGAGAAGGGAGAGGAAGAAAAACAAGAAATATACAAAGGAGGGAGAAGAAAAGCAAGAAATATAAAAATCGGGAGAGGAGGAGGAAGTGAAAGAAGAAGGGAAACAAAAATTAAAGAGAATAGAAAGAGGAGGAGGAAAGATCATATGTATGAAGAAGAAGAAGAACAAGGAGACAAAAAAAGGAAAGGAGGAGGAGATGGAGGAAAAGGAGAAGGAGAAGATGGATGAGAAGGAAGGTGTAGGGTAAGGAGTAGGCGAGGGGCGTGTTCTCTCGAGATAAGGGCGCCCCCGATGTATTGTGACGTTTGTTTGTTTGTTGCAGAGGGACCCACCAAGGGTGAGGGGCCCATCTTGTTGCTGAGCAGACTGCAGCCGAGTGGCGGGTCATGGGTATGTGTCCTCGTCTTTTTTTTTTTTTTTCCTCTCTTTTTCTGCTCCTCCCTCTCCTTCTTATTATTATTATTATTTTTCTTTTTTCTTTTTTTTTTTTCTTCTTCTTCTTCTTCCTTTCTCTCTATTCTTCTTCTTCTTCTTCTCCTTCTTTTTTTCTCTCTCTCTTCCTCTTTCTCTCTCTCTTTCTCTTTCTCTTTCTCTCTCTCTCCTGCGTTCTACTACTACTTTACATCTGTTACTACAACAACTACAACTGCAAATACTACTACAAGTACTACTACTACTATAACTACAAGTGTATTCCAACTATTATTATTACTCCTACTAACACAGCTACTATTACTACAACTACCACTATCACTGCTGCTGCTACTACTCCTACTACTACTACTACTACTACTACTACTCCTACTCCTACTCCTACTCCTACTTTTAGTACTACTACTGCTGGTTATGGTGCCACTAATTCTGGTGTTAGTTGAGGCTTAGAGCCACAAGGATCCCAAGGCGTTGTCGTGAAGTTACCCTAATTCTGCTAATGAGGGCGATGTGTAATTATTTCGCTTATGACGATGACGCTGGCGACGTAAGGTTGGTGGTGTTAATTTTATGCCCACGCTCGTTCGTTCTTTTTCTTTCTTTTTTTTTATCTCGCTCTTTCTCTGTTTTCACTGTATATTTCTCTCTCTGTTGTTTATTTTTATTTTTATTTTTATTTTTATTTCACTGCTTTTTTTTTCTCTCTCTCTCTCTCTTTCTCTTTCTTTCTCTTTCTCTTTCTCTCTCCTTTTCTCTTTCTCCCCTCCCCTCACATTCTCACCTCCCTCCCTCCCTCCCTCTAAAACAAACTCACTCATATATATATATATATATATATATATATATATATATATATATATATATATATATATATATATATATATATATATATATATATGTGTGTGTGTGTGTGTGTGTGTGTGTGTGTTTGCGTGTGCGTGCTTTTGATGCATTCGCATGTATGTGCACACTGTATACAATTATGCAGTATAGATTCGTGCATACAAAGGCTACACTCCTACGTACAGCCATGTGGATGAACAAACGGCAGAATGCTTTACGTGATGTCAGTAATATCAATATTTTAAAGAGTAGGGCAAAGGTTAGAGCCGGAGTTGTAGAATACTCGTGGCGGTGAATTCAGCTGTGTTGTTGTTATTGATGGTAATAATCGTCATTGTTGTTACTGTTGTTATTATTATTATTATTATTATTATTATTATTAGTCTTCTTATTATTATTTTATTATTATTATTATTATTATTATTATTATTATTATTATTATTAGTCTTCTTATTATTATTTTATTATTATTATTATTATTATTATTATTATTATTAATATCATTATTATTATTATTATTATTATTATTATTATTATTATTAGTCTTCTTATTATTATTTTATTATTATTATTATTATTATTATTATTAATATTATTATTATTATTATTATTATTATTATTATTATTATTATTATTAGTCTATTATCATCATCATCATCATCATCATTGTTATTTTTGTTAATATTATCCTTTTCATTATTGTTATCAATTTTATTGTTTTATTGATTTTTTTTATTGTTATCATTATTATTACAGGCGAATTGCTTTTATTCTGGTCATTATCGTTTGGTCTTACTGTTATTATTAAAATCAGTATTCTTAATTAATGGTCCCTTGGGTTCTGATGATGTTAATTATCATCATTATTTTCCTCATCTTCATTATTACAAAGGGAGTTCCTCGTAATGATGTTTTTATTACCATTATCATTATGTTAATTATTACTCATTTAGTGTTTTTTGTCATTCTGGCTGTTATTATTTTCGTCATTTGTTTTTGTTTTCATTGACGTTATTATTGGTATTCCTGTTATTCCTATTATTTATATCATTATTATTGGTTTTGTAAGGATAATTGTTAATGGAGATATTATTTATTATTATCATTATTTTATTAATTATCTATTTTGTTATTGTTGTTATTACCATATGATGATGAAAATAAAAAAAAAGAAGACTAACAACAAGAAAGAAAATGAGAATAAAGGTCGAATGAGAATAAAGGTAGAAAGAGAGACAGACAGACAGCGAGAGAAAGAAAAGAAAGGAAAGAGAGACAGACAGACAGCGAGAGAAAGAAAAGAAAGGAAAGAGAGACAGACAGCGAGAGAAAGAAAGAAAGGAAAGAGACAGAAAGAGCGAGAGAATCCTTTCCCTCCTCCGGCCAGCGGGATCACGGCCTTCTGCAGGTTCTCCGTCGCCGGCCGTTCCCCGAGTAACAAAAGAACTCTTATGTGATTACACTTTTCTCTCTCCCTCGCTGAAGAAAAGGGGGGTGGGGGGTGGGGTTGGGTGGATGGGAAGGGGGGAGGGGGTTTTAGGGGGGAGTGAGTTGATATTTCTGTCTGCCTGTCCTCTGTCTGTGTCTCTTATCCCTTCGTCTTTTTCTCTTTTCTCTCTTTTTCTGTCTTTGCTGTTTTCTTTCTTTTCTTTCTTATCTTACACACACGCACACACACACACACACACACACACACACACACACACACACACACACACACACACACACACACACACACACACACTCACACTCACACACACACTCTCACACACACACACGTACACACACACACACGTACACACACACACACACGTACACACACACACACACGTACACACATTCCCCCTTTCTTCCCCCTCCCCCCTTTTGCGTTTTGTACTTTCTTACAACTCCTCCCTCCCTCCTTCTCTCCCTCCCTCCCTCCTTCTCCCCCTCCCTCCCTCCCTCCTTCCTCACATCATTATTTCTTACCAACATCCTCTCCTCCTCACCTTCCCACCCATTTATTCTCCCGCTCTCCCTCCCCCGCTCCCATTCCCTCCCTCCCCTCTCCTCCCCCCCCCATTCTTTCCTCCCTCTCCTCCCCTCCGTCTCACCTCTCTCCTTCCATCTTCCCCTCCCTTCACTCCTCCCCCCCTCCCTCCTTCTCACCGCTCTTCCTCCCTCCCCTTTCTTCCTTCCATCTTCTCACCCTTCTTCCCTCTTCCCTCTCATCCCTCTCCTCCCTTCCTCCCTCTTTCACTCTCTCCCTCTCTCCCTCCCTCCTCCCCTTCCCTCCCTCCTTCCCTCCCTCCTTCCCTCCTTCCTTCCCTTCTTCCCTCCCTCCTTCCCTCCTTCCCTCCCTCATCCTTCCCTCCTTCCTTCCCTCCTTCCTTCCCTCCTTCGCCCCTTCACCTTCCCTCTACTTTCCCTCCCTCCGCCCCTCCCTCCTTCCCTCCCTCCTCCTTCCCTCCCTCGCTCCTTCCCTCCCTCCTTCCCTCCCTCCTTCCCTCCTTCCCTCCCTCATCCTTCCCTCCTTCCCTCCCTCATCCTTCCCTCCCTCCTTCCCTCCCTCCTTCCCTCCCTCCTTCCCTCCTTCCCGAGAAGCCATCAAATTAGAGCAGGACCCTCGGCGAAGTTTTACAAAGGCGGCCGCGACTTGTACTTCGTCTTGGCTCGTGGGAGGAGGAGGAGAGGGGGGGGGAAGGTGGTGGAGGAGGAGGAGTGGGGGAGGTGGTGGAGAGGAGGGGGGAGGTGGTGGTGGAGGTGGTGGTGGTGGAGGAGAAGGAAGAAGAAAGAAGAAGAAGAAGGGGAAGAGGTAGTAGTGGAGGAGGAAGAAGAAGAGGAAGAGGAAGAGAAGGTAATGGAGGAGGAGGAGGCGATGGTGATGATGGAGGAGGATAACGCGAAGAAGAGGAAGAAGAGGGAAGAGGAAGGAGAGAACAAGGAGGAAGCAGGGGCGGTGTTGTTGGCGCAGGAGGAAGGGAAAAAGCGTGAGTAGAAAGCGGTGTTAGGAGAGGGGGGGGGGGGGAGAAGAAAAGATTGTGCATGTAGCTGCGGCGAAGAAGAAGAAGGAGGAGGAGGAGGAGGAAAAGAGGGAGGAGGAGGAGGAGGAGGAGGAGGGAAGGAAGGGAGGAATGAGACGATGAGAAGAAATTATGTAAGGGGAGAGAGAGAAAGAGAAAAAGGCGAATGAGAGAGTAAGAGAGGCAAATACAGGTAAAGTCAAGAAGGAGAAAAGCGAGAGGAAGACAAGCGAAAGGCGGAAATGCAGTAACCAAAAGAAAAAAATAGGCAATAAACAAAAAAAATAAATAAATAAATAAAACGAAAGAGGAAGAAAAAGAAAGAAAGAGAGAGAAAACGAAATTGGTGATGACGTAGCTCCCGATGGCGGAACCAGGGAAAGGAGTCGAGAATTTCCTAAGGTTTCACGCCGGGCATCGGTTGCCATGGGAACAGCGTGGTCGTTAGTGGAATTGGCGGTAATCGTCACCATCGTCGTCATTGTCGCCAGCTCTTTGTCAGCCATTGCCGTCAGCCACGTCGTCATTTGCATCGTCATTACCACCGTCATTACCCGCTGTCATTGCCTTCTCGTTAACACCATCATCGTCAACGTTAACTATCGTCACGACTGTTGCCATCTTCATCACCATAAGCATGATTGTCACCATTTCCGTTTAGTTTTCACTATGCGTCAGTGTGGGTTGTGGTGGATTCTCTCTCTCTCTCTCTCTCTCTCTCTCTCTCTCTCTCTCTCTCTCTCTCTCTCTCTCTCTCTCTCTCTCTCCTAACGCTGATTAAATATCCGGTTTGATTAAGCGGCGGCGATAGTGATGGTTATAGTGATGAGAGTAGTGATGGTGACGGTGTTTTTTTCCTCATTTTTTCCCCTCTTTCTAATGACTTTTTTCTCTACCATTTCCTCTTCCTTCTCCTTTCCTTTCTCCCTTTCTCCTCCTCCTCCTCCTCCTCTTCCTTCTTCTCCTCCTCCTCTTCCTCCCCCTTTCTTTCTCCTCCTCCTCCACCTCGTTATATTTTCCACATCCTTAATCTTTGCTATTTTTCTTCCTGTTCCCCCCTTTTTTATTACCCTCTCCCCCCCTCGCCCACCTTTTTTATTATTGCTTTTA